ATAAATAGCAATAAACTCATAAAAACCCAGAACAGTCACAACTTGAACTTAACTGAGCTGTCAGAAATGAGCAGGTATACCTGGAAGTTTCTGAGAAACTGGCCACCCACAGTTGCACTAAACTCATAAACAATATAGTGATAAAAGAAAAATAATGTTAGACATTTGAACATTAAAACCACAATGACTGAAGCTGCCTTTGATGATCTAGACATGCTGAGAGTGAGTTATTTTTACCTAAAAACTGTTTGCRAAAATTTGCCCTTTGTTGTCTTTTCAGCAATTGGAAATCGTAGTTCATGCTTTAGTGTTTGCCTGTATTCAGGGCTGGACTGGAACAAAACATTGGCCCAGGCATTCTGAGCAGAGCCTGACCCAACAAGGATTAATGGAAAGACAATGCAGCCTATGAATGGAAATATGGATCATCCTGGTGTAACATATAAGGACTGACACAAGTTGTTGAGGTTTTGAGGAGTTCCAAGATAACAAGGTGACAAAAAGCTTTATTACAATAATCAGCAATATAATGGCCAAATTACTGTTCAGTAAAAACAAACATAAACAGGTGAAAAAAAATGTAAGAAAGGCAATCTATTAACTTTTACAGTTTTTAAGTACAAGTAGGGTGGCCCCATACCATCCTTGTGCCATTTCATACTTGCAWCCTCAAGGCTGAAAAATTATCGAAGGCTCATAAAAACATTTTACCAAAAAGTATTTTAAATGTCTATATTAAAAATATAAAGGTTATTAAATTAGGCCTTGTTCTAATTAATGTCCACAAACGTTTTCTGTAAAATGTTAGTGAAAAAAAAATAAGATAAAAAGAAAACTTGTCTAGAATAAAGAGGATACTTATGCATAAAAGATAAATACATTAAATCAGTTTCTTTAAACTTCATCGAATTTTAAGTGAATGAGTAGCATCACATCTTGTAAATCCTAATTTGATTCAGTCTAAATCATATCTGTAAGTGTAAAAGGTTAATGAAGAATAATAACCAAATATTTTGTTTTTTACATGAAAAATTTTGCTCTGTTGAGCTTTAGCTGTTAGAGGATTAAATCAAACTGGCAACCCACCAGTTACAGGACAACTCCCCTAACACTGCCACAGCCACCCCAGCTGCTCTCTGCAGCTATCTGTCTGTCCATAGATTGACAGGCAGCTTTCTGAGCTGTGAGTATTTTGTGTGAATCACTTTAACAGTGTTGTTTCATGTTGTGTTCCCCTTGAGGAAAAAAATGTTTGGCATATTTCTTTCTGAGAATCACCTTTAACTGACTTCACCATTTTCCCAGTATTTGTTTTGCTTTATTATGACCCCCGCACGCGAAGCGTAAGCGGGAGTCATATTGTTTTTGTACTGTTTTTTTTTTTTTCAGTGATTTGTTTTTTCAGTCAACCGTACCACAAAAACGGCTGCACCAATCAACAAGAAATTTGGCAGGACTGTAGATGAGTCCGACCTACACTGCTCCAGCCAGCGGTTTTATGATAGACCCAGCATTTGAGAAGGGGGCTCCTTTCAAAGAGGGGGTGTCAGGACATGAAAAATGCTTATAACTCAAACTGTTGAACATAGGAGCTTCAGATTATTTTTGTTGTTTAGCTCTGATGAAGCTCTATCCATCAGGCCCAACAATCAGTGCCCCCCATGCCCCCGGACCCCCAATTTATCTGAAAAAGTGGTATCTGGACATTCAAAAATGGTTATGACTCAAAAACTATAAAACATAGGAGCTTCAGATTTCTTTTGTTGTTTAGCTCTGATGAAGCTCTATCCATCAGGCCCAACAATCAGTGCCCCCCACCCCCAGACCCCCAATTTATCTGAAAAAGTGGGTGTCAGGACATGCAAAAATTCTTATAACTCAGAATCTTTTCATCATAGGAGCTTCAGATTTCTTTTGTTGTTTAGCTCTGATGAGGGGCTATCCATCAGATCAACCAATGCCCCCCCCCCCCAAAAAAAAAAGACCCCCACTCAAGCCACTACAATTTTGGGATGCACCTAGTAACATATTTATTAGGAATAAAGACTTCTGATTTCTGGTGCATTTGTGCGTGTGGGGGTCATTATGTTATTGCTATGCGGTATCTAGTTTTTTGTTTCAACTTACGGAACACTGGGAGAGTGAAAACTGCTTGACAGTCCCACACAGTTCGGGATATCTAGTCATCCTTTGTCTGACCCAGGTAGACATCACTTCTTTCCTGAAGTTCAGATTTCCCCACTCTCACCAGCGGGTGCTGTGGTTCTCTCCTCCTCCTGCCACCATTTACACCAGCAAACATCTGTGTTATTTTCACACATTTGGCAGCATCTGCCTGAAAGGCTTGACTCTCTTTGGTCATGACACCAATTTAAGCAAATGTATATCCAGCTCTGGAAAAAAAAGAGACCACTGCACAGTTTTCCTGTATTTGGTGGAAAGCATTCCACCAAATATTAGTTTCTGAACTCTTCTTCAGGTCAAACATTGGTCTTGTTGTTTCTGTGCATTATTTTGAGGTCTGAAAGCACTGCATCTTTGTCTTCATTTTGACCATTTCTCATTTTCTGCAAATAAATACTAAATTTTTGCATGGAATTTCAGAGACATGTTAGTAGTCAGTAGTTCATAGAATAAAATAACATTGTTCATTTTACTCAAGCATATAAAGAGTGAAATTAAAGAAATTGATAATTTTAAAATGGCCTTTTAATTGTTTTTCCAGAGCTGTATCTTTAATGAACATCTTACTTCTTTCTGCTCTCACATTTATTTAATGGTGCTTAAAAGTTGCCTAAAATTTATATCCCTTGAATAAATTCATATAGCCAGCCTCCTTTCATGCCAAAATTTTATACTAAAGCCATTTTATCTCAAGAAATAAGACATTTATTGCTATTTTTATCAATTTTTTACGAGATGTCTTGTGAGGGATTCATATCTACTACCACATCAATAATTAGTTTATAATCTCCAAATGTATTGCCCCTTTTGTGATAATGAATTACAAGTTGGTTTAAGGCAACGTAGGATGAATGAATTACTTATGTAAGGTCAAATCCATCCATTCTTTTGCGTTCCAAGTATTATAAGTAGATTTGTGCTTACTGAAGTGAAAACAAAAGTTGTTCACCACTGATTGGTTTTTAATTGTCAAGTATTTTGCAGACACTGATAGTAGACTACTATTTATGGAAAAAGACACTGGCTGGTATTAAAATATGCATGCCATTACTGTGCAAATCTGTGTTGAGCACACTGGCACTGATGATGATTGCAGAGGTGTTGGGGTTAATTGTGACCAACTACACTCACTTTAATCAGCTGAGGTACCGGGAGGCATAACTCAGCAGCCGAACACACCTGACACCAGTTAGGGCTGAAATAAAGAATGATTCATTGATATTCTCTTGTTGCTTGCATGTGGATGACTGTAATTAGGTGTAATGAGTTGGCTGGTGGGGAGATTTAGACTAAAAGGTAATGTAACTGGTTAATAGGAAATAGGAATAGAATAGTAAGCAGAGTGATATGAAGATGAATAAAGCAGTGCAAAGCACTGAAATTGGTAGAAGAAAGAAGAGGTAGAGCTAAGCAKAAAGAGCAGTTTTGGTTGGTATATAAACAATGAATAAATGTCATAGAAATGAGTTTTAAAGTCTTAGTTTTATCATCAAGTCAGAGACTGGTGAGCCAAGTGGATTTTGATGYAGGAGGTGAGCTAAAGAAGAACATGGGTGATCGGTTGATTTGAATTGGTCCAGAGAGATACTAACAGTGTTGCACTTTCACACACAAACACATAAAGAAAATCTGCACATATAAAGACCAAGGCCCAAATTATACTATAAAATGCTCTCTAAAGCATTATATTAGCATGCATAATGTGTGTTTAAACCTCTCAAACCCAAATTCCCACCAAAAATAGTCTTGCACACTATCACTCAGAAACACAAAATAGTATTTCAAAATTCACATTTTTTCTCTCCTTAACAGGCTGGCAATGGTTTCATTATCTAAATTAATTTAAATCAGAGATTGATCCTCATAGCAGCCCAGCCATGATTTGTACACGGGGTTGATTGTAAATGAGCTAAAATAAGGTTTTGCCCATGGGTTCCATATTCACCCACTATTCTGCTGACCCTTAACCTAAATGGAAAATTCCATAAAGGGCACATTTTTAACCAATTAATAAACACAGTCAATCTCACTTATACAAGTATCTGTCAGTAGCACTGATGTTAAAAAAAAAACATAATATTGCATCAATTTCAGTAATAGTGGTACAAGTTCTTAGCATGTAGGGTTTATTCTAAAACTTTTTAACAATAGAATAATTAGAAATTTTATAATGTACAGCTAGAACAAACTCATTAAGATTTTTTGATAATTACTGACATTTGTTTTAATAATACACTGTTCCGAGCTGATTAGAGCTGGTGAGGTGTGGATTTAGACTGGAATGTTGCAGTTTATATATATATATWTTTTTTTGCCATGTTTAGAAAATCTGAAAAGATCTCTGATGGGCAAGTGACTTTTTCTCTCTCATATTGAAGGGTGTAGGTATGCACCTGCCCCCCTGTGACCTTGTACAGAAATAAATGAGTACAAAAATGGTTTGATTTAATTTAAATAAATTAGGCACCTGCAGTATAATTATGTTTTTGGCCATATCTTATATTGATAGATTTTTAATGTCTCAGTTCACTGAACTGAATATTAATTTTCATTTTAAGCAATGGCCTATGGGGATTCAACTGGAATGGTTAAAGCTTTTATGCTACATTTGTGTTATATGGTTTTCTTTCACTTTTCAACTAAACATGGTTACAGCATTACCTAAACCTATTAGGTATAACACATTACCTAAACTCAGAGGCTTCTGAACAGCCTCTGGGTTGGATAATATCAACTTTCTCTACTGATGAAATCTGCTTTGTGTAAACTTTATTTCAACCAGTTTCTCTGTTTTTGCTTTGTTTTATTTTCATCAGGGTGTAGGCAGTGACCCCCACACTGCCTTGGCTCTGCTTCCTGAATCCAGGCTGGCCAAGGAGAAAACAGAGGATTTGCCGTCCCAACTCATAGACTCTGATGAGATGACCATCAGGATAGGTAGAGCTGGACCTTTCTCAGGCAAGCCCCACATCCTTCATATACCCACATCGATTGTTTTGGGCTTGATTTCAGCCATGAAATTGTATTGCATAAAAATTTGCACCTGTAGGTATTGGGGTCAAACAGTTTTGCCACCGTGAGTAAAATGAATGTTTTTGCTCAGAAGTTGGTTAAAGATGTGTAAAGATCAACGGTATGGCTGAGAAAACCCCACTTGAACTTCTTTGATGGCTACTTTTAATTCAGAATTCTCCGTCCTAATTTGATTTTCTTTTTTTTCTTCTTCACTTTTTTCTATTTATCTTATCTGTCCTCTTGTAAACTTTGTATGTACTGTATTTTACTAACTTCAAATGGAAAAAAATGCTTTGTGTTTGATATTAGGGATGTCTTAAGAAGACATTACCAACTGACAAACTTAAAGGGCACAGTCATGTATATATATTTTTTTTCATTAGGTAAGCTGTTAAAATTAGATGTCTAAAAAATAAAAGTTTTTTATTTCCATATGTCGCTTTTACACTTCTGTTTCCTGTTTTTACTTTACCTCAAGCATTTCTGCCTCATTATGCAAGAAGGCTGTCCTTGGGTCACCTCCTCTCCTGTTGGTCAACAGACAGGAAGGAGCAGGATCCATGTGCTCGATGTACATCTACTGTGCATGCTGGAGTGCCTCAGTTTAATTTACAGTTTAAAGTTTATTTATAAACAAAGACAAAGAGGAAAACACTAACCTGTGCCTTTGTTTTAAACTAAACTTTAAACTAAACTGAGGCAGCACACGCATGCACAGTAGATCTGCAGATGGATYCTGCTCCTTTCTATTTGTTGACCAATTGAAGAGGAGCTGACCCAAAAAAGACCACCCACCTTATTTGCATAATGAGGCAGAAATGCACAAGATAATGTAAATATAGGAGACAGAGAAATGTAAAAGCGACACATAAAAATAAAGACTTGTGGGAAAAATTATTTAAAAAAATTAAATATAGTCATTTAAGAGATACAAATGCATGTACAAAAAAAACATACATTTTTAAAAACAGTAAAATTTACATTATAAACTAAAATATATTTATTTTTGGAACTAAGCTAAGGAAAAAATTTTCTCCTTTTCACTTTAATTGGTGCATTTTAAGTGTATTTATTTATTTATTGGATCATTTATATATTTCTGCTATAATTTTTAATTATATTAGATTTGGTCCTCCATATTCATACTTGCTGCAGATGAGGAAATACAAACTTTACTATGAACTTTTTCAGCACAAAAACATTCCTCGCTAAAGCAGGCAGCAGCATTGATATGACCATGGCAACAGTCAGATTATTTTGAAACTTAAAACCCTAAAATGATGTACTTGGACTTATTTTGATCTGTTCAACATAATAAGGGGCAAACTCATTCTGAGTGACAACAATGTCAGAGCAGCTGAGCTTTTTCCAACACCTCTCTCTGGCTGTATGCATGTAAGTTCTCACAAGCACCTGTTTCTCTGTTAATTGTTAATGACTCAATACGCCACAGAATCTCACCCCAGTAATACCATATACCACGGTATTTTCTAAAGGCTACGCCGGGGTATCGAAATTGTAAATACTGCCCAACCCTACTCTTAACCACAGACCAGATACTTCTGGCTCATGGTTACAGTTTACAGGCAAAAACAAACTTTAACATGAGGAGGCGGGGCAAGATGGCGGAGGAGTGAGTCGTGTGTCGCGTGCTTCTTTTATGGTTCTCTACTAAATGTCCTTGCTATTTTGAGCATTTGGTCTGTCCGGACTCGACCCCTGAGTGATTGTTGCCTGGAAAAGTAGAAGAATGGCGACAAACTCGAGGAAAGGCAAACATTCTAGCTCTGCGGCTGTTAGGCCCGACRCTGCCTCGGAGCAGACTGCAGCTAAAACTGGACTTTCGGCACCCCCCTCTCCCTCCTGCAGCGAGGTGGACGCACTCTCCTTGAAGTCTGACATTCTTGCCGCTATAAAAACCGAYCTCTCAGCTATGATCAAATCCGAAATAAAGGCRGCTTTGGCTGAAGARTTTACTCTTATTAAAGGAGAGCTACAAGCAGTGAGACCTGAAGTGGCTAACGGCACAATGCTACTTCGTGCTGACTTAGACCACCTTAAGCAGAGCATTAAAGAGGTGGAGGACGGCTTGTCAACATGGTCCGATGAGGTGTTTGCTCTGCGCACCACCATTTTGGAACTGAAAGAAGAAGTCGATGGGCTCAAAAAGAAGTATGACGATATGGARGGGCGCATGAGAAGGTGCAAAGTGCGGATTATTGGAGTTCCTGAGACGCCAGAATCCAGCTCCACTTCATCAGTGGCAAAACTGCTAGCAGAGGTTCTRCAGATGGATAAAGAGCCACTGGTTGACCGAGCCCATCGCTCTCCAGGTGGRAACAGGTCAGRCGATAAGCCGCGGGTTATTGTCGCTAAGCTGCACTATTATCAAGAATGTGTAGAAATACTGCGTTGGGCGCGGACCCGCGGCCATCTTTGTTTTAAGGAGGCGTCGATCATCATCACATCTGACAACACGGCAGCTGTGGCCAGGGCTCGGGCGGCGTTTACGGAGGTAAGGAGGCTCCTTCGCAACTGACGAGATGTTCGCTATGGCTTGCTTTTTCCTACACGGCTCCGCATCTCTCATGGGGGAGAAAACAAGGAATTCCTGGATGCCAATAAAGCAATGGACTRCGTTAAAAAGAAAATCATCTCGGCGACGGACAGCGAGGACCGGCGTTGACCCGCAGGTCCAMCTCTCATYGATCYATTATGACTGTCAGGTTGTAATGAACCTTCCAAATTTATGTCCCGCGTTATATCTTGATTTAATTTTAGACATTATTCAGAGGGACAACATTCCTCTTTTTGTTCTATGTATGAGAGTTTCACAGGGGGTCTGTCCAGATCTTGGTTAGTGCTTTATTTATCAGTGCAGCAAGGAGCATAAACAGTAATAATATTTTAAAGTAAGGGAACCCCTTTGTTTTTATATTTTTTTGTTATTGTTATTTAGTTGTGGCGGGAGTCCAGACAGGGAGTTAAACCCCCCAGTATCAGCACAAATGTGTGGATTTTTTGTTTGTTGGGTTCTTCATGTTTTTTAGGAGAAAGGGGTGGGACTRTACCGGATCTACATGTATTTGTTTTTAGAATGTCTTTTTCAGGTCTTTTTTTTGTGAGGGTTTGTGGATATTGTACTACAGTCCGATTGACCATACATGAGCAGTTCTAATATTAACAGGTTCATCAACAGTCACCCAGTTAACTGTGT